GGCGAGCAAGCAGGTAGTAACAAAAGAGCTAATCAAAGGCTTGTAGACATGCATATGCCCAGCGCCGTATTTTTTCAATATTACAACGTGTGCATGGAGCTGAGCTACAGCCGTCACGCCATCTGCCAATGTGCCCGTGTCTAGCGTCTGTTCGTTAATTAAAAGTGAAATTTCAGAATAAGCGAGTTGGCAGCATGAGAACCAATCAACAGTCTATAGACCTGCCAAGCGCCGTACTTTACAATATTACAACGTGTGCAAGGACGAAATTCCTTAAAGAGAAAACTAAATGAAAAATTTGAGATTTCAAGGTTTTCATGCTCAGTTAGATGGTAAACTTAAGTGCGGTAATAAAAACCGAACACAGCTAACACTCGTCTAGTATATGTACTTTCGTGTTTAAAAACAAAGCAGAGCAAAACAGATTTGATGAAAGTATACTTGAAAAACATATCCAAACTGGTATTACTGTTAAAATCTATACAAATCATAACGATGTCAGAGCTACTGCAATCATGCTGAGGTGCATCACGGCTACTCATCATGGTGGTCTCCGGTCCTTGCAGTGAAGATGAGCCATAGAAATTACATCGGCCGCTCTTCCCGGGTGAACTGAACCATTAGCTCGCTCTAATATCCTATTCGATACATTGAGTGGAAGGCCACATCAGTCACAGCAGCCGAGTTTTACCGCACTGTTCCTGTTTTGACTTACTTGTCATGTTAAAAAACTCGCGTGTATTTATGAGCCAAAACTCCACCGGATTTCATTGAATTTTTTACGTTCAGAATCCGTGTTTATAAGACAAAAACCTCAGGCAAAATAAAAAATCGACCCGCTGAATCATTTCTTTTTTGTGCACTACTGTATACTATGAACGAACTTCGATATTCTGTAAACTTTGATGGTTTGACATTTCTGACAGCTTTTGTCTTGATAAATCAATCAGTGTACTTGTACCATTCTAACGAGGATTCTGATTGGCTCATTGTAGCCTGCTTTATAAGAGCATAGAGCATGCTGACGAAATTGTTGTTCACCCTGGAAATAAAGCTTGTTTTGAAAATTAAAAGAATTTCATGGGAAATTATTACAAAACAAATAGAGAAGCTTTGACTGTGCCCTGAGCTGTTGTAAAGCCCTTAAAAAGCGGCTAGAGCACTAAAGCAGAAGGGAGAAATACTCGACTGCGTCTCGTGTTTCTCTCCACTTCTTTCGTGCTCTAGCCCCTCTGTTTTCTGCTTTACAACAAAACAGAGCACAGTGGAGGCTTCTCTATTTGTTAATTAAATGATTATTCACACCTGTCCTATAAACAGATATATTCTCGCACGTTCAAATTCATAGCATTTTTCATTCCCTGAAATTTCTTTTTTTTTTTTGGTGATAAAAAATATGGAAAAAGTTCCAAGAAGAAAACCTTTTTGCAAATGGTTTAACGAGGAGTGACGTCTCAGAACTTCCTTTCTACGGACTGTCTCTAATTATTCAGAAATGACAGTCTTCCGACTCCAGCATGCCAAGTGAATGGGAAAACACAGAACGACTTGCATTTCGCAAAATTGGCCACTTGACTTAATAATTGGATAACACAGAACGACTTACATTTCACAAAATTGGCCTTTTGAATTAATAATTAGTAATAGCAATAAGAATCATAACAAGGAGTATTTGCCTGTTTTTAATTTTTTTTTCCTTTTTGGTTTTTTTTTTTATTCTTTCGTTTCATTTTGATCAATGTTTCAGAAAAATTTCTCTCTCAAAATTTCAAAAACAGACGCTTTCTAATAGGCATTTTTCAGACAGAAATAATGTTTGAAGAAAATAGTAAACAGGAACAGTTAGTTAAGAAACTTATTGTCCTGCCCAATTTTGGTTAATAATGAATGACGATAAGATTAAGACTTCGCCGTTATGGCTCTGCAAGAACCTAACAGTGCCAGAGATGGGTAGCTGATCGTTGCAGCAGTTATTTTAAAATGCAAAGTACAGTGATAAGTGGGTAAGAAACGTTCTTCTTTGACGACACTCTGGAGATGGTCCGCTGTCGCTGCTCAATGCTTTCTTTCGTTTTTCTTCTTTTTTCGTTTGGAGGCTGGTTCTACACCTTAACAGTTGCAAGCCATGGTGAGTTAACTTGAAATTTCTTTGGAGTGGGTTGGACGAAAATGTAGACTATGGCAACTCGTTAAGTAATGCAAATCTGCAGTTGGTGGAAAACAACGGGCCCGAAAAACCGGGATCAAAATTATGCACTTTTTGGTTGAGTGGAAGTCCTGATTTACCCCATCGATAGGGCTGTGAAGTAAAACTTGATATGATCATCCCGAAAAACTTTTTGGAAAGAAATTTCATATCTTTTCAATAAGAATAGCTCATTCAAGTTCATAAAGAGGTTAAACAACGATTTTTAGAAAGAGCTGACAATTTTATAGACTTTCTAGGCAAATCGATCGTGTGTAGGAACCTCATCGGGGGTATTTTATTCAAATTTTTCCGGCACGTTTTCTTGGTATTATTTTCTTTGACTAAAAATTACGGAAAAACGCTTTGTTTATCATGAATTTTACCTGGAAACACCGCTACATTTTTTTTGATCAATAAAACATCAGTGGATTTTCTCTTCATTTACGCTCGAGTTGGAAGAGATCGTAATCATCATCAAGTGAGTATGATTTTTTTTTTTCTGTTATCGTTTTCTTCAATTGAGGAAAAGTTACATAAAATATAGATACCCTATACCTAAGAAATAGCTTTGCTTGCTAAAAACTTCAGGCACCTGTTTCAAACAGATTACTATATATGAAAATTTCAAAATGGATCTAGTCTATAGCGAAGAAATGAATATAAGAGGCAAAAACTTCATCAGTTGTATTGCAAAGATTTTTGTCTTTGTATTATGCCTACTTGGTGGTATGGTGTAAATTCAGGCGCATTTTATTCATATGCTAATAGTTATTTAGCGTGTGTAACTAAACAAAAGAACTCTTGCAGGGTTAGGTGGGCCCGTAAGCGGAAGTGGCCCAGCATGCAGTGACTCGTTTGAAAAATAAATGACTAGATCTGGAAAGGAAGCCAAGAACATCAGACGAGTAGACCTTCTAAAAACTAAAGCAAAATAAAGCAAAAGGAAGTGGTCGACGAAAGCTTTTTGTTACGATAAACTTCATCCAAAACATTTCCTTCATTTCTCGTTACTGAAACACATTTAGTAGCAGGAAATTTACGTCAGTATTTTATGCATTTTCACCGGATTCCATTACAAGAATTGGAAGAATATCATACAGTTATTTTCTTTTTCAGAGATGGTTGTGTTTTCCATAGAGGAAAACCTAAGCTAGGTAATAGTATACCATATCTTAGTATATTAATGTCCGGGGCTTTTCCATTGGTTTTAGGAAGACACCTACTCATGTTTTTCGATCCTGAAACTAAAACTGAGTGAAAGATTCTTATTTCCATTTCGTTCTTGATTTCTATTACCTGAATCATCTTCGTTCCCTTAAGAACATTAAGAAACTAATTGAAAAATCGCTTTGTCGTTCTCTTTCCAATAGCCTCTTTTGAAGCAAAGGAACCTTACTTATATGCAATCTATGCAATAGCTCAGCGATAGACGGCGAAACGAGCAAAGTAGAACAAACAAACTTATCTCCTTCCGGTTAGCTCAATGGATAGAGCACTGGACCGTTGTGCGGGAGGTCGAGAGTTCGAGCCCCGGTCGGACCAACACTCAAGGTCTTAAATAATTGAGAAGAATATGCTGCCTTTCTATAACATTAAGAAATGGTTAGATATTCTAGTCTTCTCGGATAGGGACGAATAAATGGAGGTCCCGTCTCCTGGAGGGTTAGGGGTAGGAGACGTTCATTTCCCACGCATGAGATTACTGTGTGATGGATGTCCTCCCTTGGGGTGGGATGGGTGGGTTGCTGTCTTGCATTTCATACATGAGC